ACTACCAAGTGGTACATCGATATTAATAGCACAGCGATGGCTTTTGCTTCAAACGTATTATGTCGGACCGCTTTTCGCGCCGTTGTACGGTGTGTTTCGCGATGGTGTGGAACAGCTGGCATATCATTTGGGGGTCGCATGATCTACCGCGGTACCGGGTCTGTGAATCGTAGAGCCGCAAGCGTGTACTACCAAGTGGTACATCGATATTAATAGCACAGCGATGGCTTTTGCTTCAAACGTATTATGTCGGACCGCTTTTCGCGCCGTTGTACGGTGTGTTTCGCGATGGTGTGGAACAGCTGGCATATCATTTGGGGGTCGCATGATCTACCGCGGTACCGGGTCTGTGAATCGTAGAGCCGCAAGCGTGTACTACCAAGTGGTACATCGATATTAATAGCACAGCGATGGCTTATATGAACGTGTTTCGCGTTATCTTCGTTGTTACAGTTCACATACGTAGAGTCTAGGAATCTGCTTCTTCTTTATTCGCTCACCGGGCCGTGGCTGCGCAGGCGGCGGCGCGGGGGCTCGTTTTTCTTTTCTGTGGTCGTCCGGGGGCGCTTGTGGCCGTGGGTGAGGCCTATGACGACTCGCTGTGTAAAGGCCTTCCAGGCTTTGTCGTGGGCGGCACAGCTACGCAGTCGGTTGAGGTCCTCGAGAGACGCCAGCGACTGAGGCGGCGTCAACGACTGGAGGTCGCGGTGCAGGACGATCGGCAACGCGATCTTGGTGCGGCCTAGAAAACGGGGCGCCTCGGGCGGGTCAAAGAAGCGGGCGGTGGCAAGGTTGGGTTGAATGATCTGTTGTTGAAATGTGTTCTTACCTGCAAGTACCGCGGGTGCCGGTATAGAGATGTGGTGGACTTTCTAACGCGCTCGTACGTGTCCTGTGCTTCAAGCGAGGAGAGTTTGTGGTCGTGATTCGGGATTGTGCGAGAGACCAGGTAGCGTGCATACCTACGTCCGAGCCCTCGACGGCTTCGCTCATCGCAATCCGCAACGCACTAAAAGGCAGCATTTTCCGTTGGTTGTTGTGGAGGCCTAGCGCATTGTAAGTACGATTATTAATCAGTCGCCTACCTTTGGCGTTGTCACTCTCGACGAAATGGGTGTCGCGGCAGCCGTAAAGAGGGCGTGCGTCGAGATTGGCGCCGCCTGGATTGTTGACAAACAGAACCCAGTTGACGGGTACGATGGCGCCAAGATACGCTGCCACCTAGATAGCGCATTTTCAGATGAAGCAGCACAAAATTACGATTACCTCGAAGTCGTACTTCGTCTCGATTGCCATCAAAACCTGCTTGTACTTGTCCAGCGTCTCGGACTCTTGGAGCATCCAGGGACAGGCCTCAAAATCTTTTCCGCCGTACTTGGCAAACTTGCTCTGTAGGTTGCGAGTGAGGTGGATTCAGCAGAACTTGAGAGCGACATAGACGCATTCACCGTGCAAGACATCGACGGCGTTAAGACACTTGTCCCGGTCCGTAAAAATGCACGGGATTTGGAGGTCGAGTCCAGCCGCATGGCATCAACGGAGGAACTAGTAGTAGTTGGCCTTGTTCTCGCCCGGCACAATTGCCCAGGCCAGTACGATGTTCTGGTTGTTGGCGTCCTTGGCAACCAGCGTCAGAATCACGCCTACAAATATACCAAAACCTTGAGTTTATTCATGTGTTGGTTCTCTTGCATACTTCTGTAGTGCCGGGTTCGAAAAAAGGTCCCGTCGGTCCCCCGCTCTCTTTGACTGGTGGTCGCCGTCCGTGAAGGCCACGTTCCAGAAGAACGCCAAGTGTCTCGCCGACCAGTACTCGACGTTCCCGGTGCTCGGCCTCGACGGCAAGACGCTCCTCGGGCACCTCAACGGCGAGCTCACGCTGGGCGAAAACATTGCTGACAACGGCGGCCTCAAGCTCGCGTACCTGGCGTACCTCCGCGCCAAGGCGTCCGAGCCGTCGATCGCCGAGATTGGCTACGACGACAAGAAGCTCTACTTTACGGCCTTTGCGCAGGGCTGGTGCGAGAAGCGGTCGGACGCCGCCGCGACGCTGCTGCTCAACACGGACCCGCACTCGCCCGGCAAGTGGCGCGTCCACGGCCCGCTCTACAACTCGGCCGCGTTCGCCGACGCGTTCCAGTGCAAGGCCGGGTCGCCCATGAACCCCGTCAACAAGTGCATCGTCTGGTAAACATAGTCTTTTCGAGATGAAATCAATCCAAATCATTCGTTTTGGTCGTTTCGAGTGGCCTTCAAAGGACCATCGTAGTATAAAGTGCATATAGAATGAAGCAATTCCATGCGCCATGGCGCTCGTCTTGGTGATCGCGGCAAAGCCCGCCGTCACGGCCTACTCAGTCCCTGACATCTCCGTGTGGCTCAAGCATTAGGATGGCATGTGTCTTGCCGCCGTCAGTAGAGCGTGTCGACGTTGGCTGCGAGCTGTCGGCCACGAAGGACGAAGAAGAGGATAAGGCGATGAAAACGAGTGCAGCGCACGACGGCCGGCGCAAGCAGCTGCATGCAGGCTCGACGTCGAGACACGATTCGAGCGTTGACTGGACGTACGTACCGTAGAGTGTGGCGGCAGCGACCGGAGCGTGGACGCGCCGTCGGATCGGATGTGGCCGTAGCCATAACCGTTCTGGACGCGCAAGCGCATGACGTCGCGGCGGCCATCATGCTAGGCATATCGCAGCGTCGTCGCAGGACTTGGGAGCTTGGAGGAGCGCATCACGGAGGCGATCCCGTGGCCGACGTGCGAGAGAGGCCGTCGAAGAATTGGCCAGGGCTCCGCCCAAGGGCCGACTCGGTGGCTCGTCACGCATAGATAGGCTGCGCCATACAACCTACAGCGACGTCGCGTGAGCGCCTCGGCCTGAGGCCTGCGCACGGCTTGCCACGTACCACGTGCCTGGCGGCGATGATCAGTTCGAGAACGGCGGCAAGAACACTGACGATTGGCTCGAAAGCGAAATCCTTGCCGCTCTGATTGGCCACAAAGCTAAAGTCTTGTCGCTCTGATTGGCTGAAACGCTTTGGCATGGCGTTGACGAAAATGAGGGAGACCGACGAGGAACGCTGCATTGCGACCGAGCGACACCTCATGATGGTGTGTACGTAGAGATTGCTGATGGAGTCTCCTCGAGCACAATGCAGCAGCGTCAGTGGCGCCCGAGGAGCCTCGGCGTCGTCTTTCTGGCGTCGCCTGTGGTTGCTATTGGCGTTTACCATTTACAACCATAAATAACCATATTTTGGTGAACACAGGCCCACCGCGCCGGCGGATCGACCAGAATGAAGTTTGAAAATGAAATCGTCCATACTTGCCAGAGTGCTAGACCACACTTTGGGGAGTCCAACATGCTATGTGACGTCGCCGTGCGAGCTCTGTAGCGAGAGCAAATGACAGCGGCAAACAATATTTCGATATAGTGTGATTTTTCGCTATACTGAAATACTGTACGGGATGCAAGGCCTCATCACGCAGGGGTATCGCGCGCACTTTTGTCTCCCTCGGCCACATGCAACACGCTATGTAACATGAACAAAAAGAGATGACGTCCTCGGTTTCCGCGATTTCGACGCATTTTCAACCGAAATCGCATGTCGTATTTCGTGAAAACCGACGCTCGGCACTTCGAGTTTGGTGTGAGTGCCCAAGCAACGACGGCGACCAACAAGCTGGTCGCAGACCGGGTCGAGACCCATCGCCAACTGTGGCAGCCAGTTTTACGGTCCTTGGAGCTTTGGAACCCTGCGATGTCACGTGAAGTATTTGGGCGATTCTGCCACCACCTCGAAAAATATCAAATGGATTTGCGCGTGATTGCGTACGTGCAGTGCCGGAAACGACATTTACGTCATTCAACAAGTGTGTGGAGAGGTATACCCGGCTGCTACGTGGCGCTGGCGCGTCTGTGGGCTGCTACTCGTTGTTGTGCTGAATGGTGCTCACACTACAACGGTACTTGAGACGAGGTCGTGAATCAAGCCTTGTGATTGGCTTGAAAGAATCTATAATTGAGCCAATTAACATCCATTCGAGATCGAGTTCCAAACGAGCCGGATCCACAAGCACAAGAAGTGGTGTGGACGCGCGCGAACATCGGGAAGGTCCGGGGCGACCAGTGGCTGCACGAAGAGGCAGAGCGCGCTGCTCTCCGCGAGAAGCGCAAGCGGAGCACGACGGCCGCGTCGAGGCGCTCAAGAAGACCGAGCCGACACCGCCGGCCATCGACCTCTTTGCGCCCGACGAGACCGCTCACGACTGTGCCAGCGAGCTGCGCCAGCGTGACCTGCGATCGTTGTTGGAAGTGATAGTGAGTGGCTCGGGTGATCAAACGCTCACGATGCGACGGAACGTGATCAATGATTGGTCAACAGCGGGCTCCTGTCACTTTTCGACCTCGTCAACTGGACGATTGCCTTCCGAGGACGCCGAAGCGTCATGACGTATCGGGCAATCCTGACACCCGCCTCAGGTAATCCAGCAAGCGGTCGCGCCCATGCATTGCCTGACCAAAGGGGTCGCAATGGGTTTCATCAACGTACACGCCACGTCTGACGACTCAAGCTACTACCAACGCGTCCCTCGCCGTCTCATCGGAGAATCGGGAGGAAAGATGTCAACTGCGTTGGTGACGACGACGCACCGATGGCTACTGTCGACTGTCGTTGCTGATGGAAGATCGTTCCGAGTGCATCCAAAGCACCGAGAACCCTTCGCGCCAGTCTCTCCTGCCAACTTCAACGTGCGATTTAAAATTCCACAATTGCGGTTAGTGACATAGTACGGTCAAGGTGCCATCGATTATTAATATTTGAAAATTATTTACGTTTGAAGGGACCTCTTGTTTGTCGAGTGTCATTTGAGATTCGTCCATGGCCCAAGGCAAGCGCAATCGTGACGACCACAGTCGAGCGATCCAGATCGCCATGGCTGCGTTCAGCGGCAACCAACTACCGCGGAGCCTCCTCCAAATTGCCTTCAAGAGCTACTACCGGCAAAACGACCAAGGCCACTGGACGATGCATGAGGACGAGCTCTCAGAGCTCGAGCTCGAAGCCGCTGCCTGGACGACGCTCCGCAAGCACGTGGACGAGCTGCCGGACGAAGGCGCCACGGAAGCTCTGCCGCTGCTACAAGCTCTCTTTCTCTTGGACAAGACGACGTTCGACAACGAGTACGTCCGGCTTTCCTACTCATTCGGTGCTCATACCGCCTCTACGTGTAGATTGAGACCATATCGAGCGAAAAAACTCAGGACCGAGGCGCCAGGGACTCCGGCGTCGCCCGCGCCTTCAGCGACCGCAGCCACCAGACGCAAGACACCCGAGCCAAAGCGTGCGGCGCCACCGGCACAGAAGCATTTGAACTTCAATGCCCAAGTGCCGCTAAAGCCGGCTGCAGCTACACCGCCGCCGTCCTCTGTGTCGCCCACCACCGCGACGGCTCCGATGACGCACGTGCTCTCGCCCAGCTCGACGCCGGCGGCGGCAATGCCGTCGACACCCGGCAGACCGTCGCCGTACAGCTCCAAACCTCCTCTGGTACCACGGGCGTCATATACGCCGGTCTCATCGACTGGGACGCCGGCGCGCACGCCTTTGTCGATGCCGCCGCCCCACCGGGAGGCAAAACCAAGCAAGTACGACGACGAGCTGTTCGGCCCTTTGCCGCTCTCCCAGAGCACGGGGTCGAGTGAGTCGTCTCAAGAAACTAACATGCCGCTGTCGGCGCAGAGTCCCGTCCCGGTGAGCGCGCGTGTCTCGGTGCCGCCGGCGACTCCCGCGCCTCCGCCGCCTGCAACACTCCATACGCTGCAGGCGGCCATATCTTCGATGCAGGCCTCGATGCAGGCCTCGATGCAGGCCTCGATGGAGCTCCAGAGTGCGGTCGCCAAGGCTCAACAGGCCATGATCACGGCCATGACCAACATCTTCGCTCACGTCAAAAACGATCTCAAGGCGATTCGTCGCCGCGTTGATGGCGGCGGCGTCGATGAGCTTTTCGAGCGAGTGTCGCTCGACCCCGACAGCAACCTCGTCATGCAGCAAGATATTGTCGAGTTGTCCGCTGTCACGGGCATTCTCAATTCCTCAAACACCTCGTTGGCCGCCGACAAGGCCAACGCCGACTCTGCTGCGATCCTCAAGAAAGTTGATGACTTGTCCGAACAGCTGCAAGCCGCCGACGCTGCGTCCCGCGCTGCGGTCTTGCAGAGCATTGGTGACTTGACGAGCCAAGTGCAAGCAAGCGACACGGCGACGCGTGCCGCGATTCTCGCACGCATGGACGACTTTTCCGGCGACCTCGAGGCCACGCGTCGTGCGACAGCGACAACGATTCTCGAGGTGCGTCCACTTTGCGTATATCGATGTCTCATGTACTTGTGTAGTCCAAGCACAAAGACATGCCCACGTCCTTCATATACACCGAGCACCGCATCGACCCGGCCAATCCCGTGGTTCCGGAGCCGTCCGAGGAGTTCCTGGCCGGCAAACGCGGCGGGTTTCTTTATATCGTCGACGAGCGCACAGGCCTGCCCATCCTCGATTCGAGGATGTACCCGATCCCGATCAAACACACATCATGTCCCGACAAGTTCCGGAAGATCATCGGCAGCCTTCTGCGTCCATGCAAGTTCGGAATCAAGTTTATGAAGGCGGCCACAGCGGTGGCGACGGTCGTGCCAGTGCCAGGTCTTGTTCTGGCGGTTCCGATCTTGGAGAAAGTGCTGAGTGGCCTCACGACGGCAGTGGCGGGCATGGAGCTCATCGACAAAGAGCTCAATGCTACTTTACTCGACATCGTGCGAGAGGGAGACCCCGATGGCGACTATGGCGGCGTCGTGCAGCACGCGCGCGACGACGGCTCAGTCTTCTGGGCACGGCCACTCGACGTCCAAGCGACGCCCACCACCAACGACGCCACGCCCGCCAACGACGATGCGACCACCAACGACACCACGCCCGCCAACGAGTCCGCATCGCCCGGCCCCATCGACGCCTGAATGCTCGCTTCCACCAAGGCGGCCCTCTCCGAAATGCTGAATGGGCTTTGCCACGTCTTTCGTAATCAAGTGCTTTTCTGTCTTTCTTTTCTGTCTTGTATGGCGCTCTCGTAGCAACCTTACAACAAAGTTCTTTAAAATTGCGTCGGGAAGGACGGAAATGGCTCGAAGGCCGGTCAAGCTCCATCTTTGTCGATTATGAACGGTCCACTCGAGCACATCGACTGTTTTACAGGAGTCCAAACAGAAGCGTTAGGTTTGCCATGTCGTTCAACTGGCCAACAACACGGTACAAGCCGCCCTATCGAGCTACGTCTGGCTCTGGTTGCAGCTTCAACCAAAACAAAATGCCTGCATTCGACGCACCAAAGTGCAAGTAGGCCGTCCGTGTCCATTGCGCTCGTGCAGGACGAGGCCCAGCGAACAACAACATTCAACGTGCAGAACCACCTGGCTGTGGGCTCTGTCAAGGGCGACGGCGACGAATGGCTGCGGTCCATGTTGCCAAGACGACCCAAGCGACGTCGGTTTACCAGTGGAAGCTGCGCCAGGCCGTGCAATTCATCACAAGAGGCCTCGCCGTCGGTCAACCCTCGCCATCCAACTCGAACGATTCATCGAGATCCGTGGCCACACCACGCAACGACGCCAAGGCAAGAGCGGCAGGCCATATTTCTGACGACAGTGGTTTGACGTCTCCTTGTCCGCTGCGTCTGAGAATGGATGGAGAGTTGCGTTCGTTTAGCCGCGATAGAGACGACGATGGCTACTGCGGCTGCGTACATTGTAGAAAGGCGCTCGCGTTAGTTTAAGCGCAAGCTCGATAAGTTTGCGTTCCAAAGCAGAAAAGAATAAAACTCGAAATCAGGCGTTCAACGTGGCATGCCACTTAAGACTGCGCGCATGTGGGCACCCCAAATGCTCGCCCGCAAGGACAGTATTAGAGACACGTTGACGCTGCGCGGGCCGTCAGTTCGTCAAGGAGTTGCATACCACGTGTCGAGGAGGAGGAGCGTACGAATCTCTCGACACTGACGACGAGCCAGATCCGCACGCCTCATTGCTGGTGGGTGGCGCTGTGAAGATTCCGAAGGCTACTCTGGCACCAGCTGCACCACCCAGCGCACGACCCTGAGCGCATCGCAACGAGGTGCCAGAAGGATGCGTCGTCTCGACCGGCTTGATGACGACGAATCGCCTCGGGCTACTGTCGCCTCCATCACCGTGCATTGAGCATATGAGCTCGGTATGTACATCTCGGTGGACTCTCAGTGGTGGACTCCACTCTATTTCCTAGAATCAAGTAAGCACCTGCTTGGCTGCAGTCCGATGCCGAGACGGCGCCTATCATTCCAACGATTGCCTCCAATCGGCGGCTGATAGGCGTCCACTTGGACCAGATGCTACTCGGTGGGTGGCGCGAACCACGCCTGCATGTCATCTAACCCTTCAACGCCCAACTGGATGTTCAAGCAAGCCCTTTTTCATTTGAGCATGCGCCCGGGATCGCAGCCCAAGCCGTCGCGACACGCGCAGACGAAGCGCGTGGGACATTGTCGGCGGCTGCCAACAAGACGGTCTCAACGCCCACGAAGAGCGCGGCGGCGGCTCCATCGTCCACGGAAACAGCGGGGCCGCTTCGCGCGTTTTGCCGTGGACGATGAAGGTTTTTTGTGGCGTGTGCATCTACCGGCATGCCATGTACTATCTCTAGGGCTTCCGTCTCGGGTACTAGTACTTCGCGCCCAAGGTGCGCCCCACGTATCGCTACATCCCAGACGCCGCCGACGAGTAGGCAGATACCGCGTAAAAGAATTGAATGAATTTGTGTTTTATGCATCAAACGACTGTCTTCTTGTGTACTCGAACAAACTTGGACTGCAACACGCATCGCGGCTAGATATCAACGCACCAACTTGTCAATCTCGCTTGAACGCGAGAGCTGCACTGATCCACTTCGATTTGTTTCAGCGGTGCTGGAAGGAGGCAACCGACACGGATATCGCCGTTGTGTGAGCGCCGACGAGCTGGGTGCAAGAGCCGCCACAGAGCCAAAGAAGCAATGAGGCTGGGAGGCGCTTGCAACGCGATCGATAAGTCTAAATGTCCATTTCGTGCACGTTACCACAGTAAAGTGCGCGCAATAAAGATAGGCCACCTTGGGGCGCATCCGAAGCACACGCGGTATGTATCGTGACGTAACGCGAAATGCTCCAATCGAAAGCCCTTGTCTCGTTGAGTCAGACCCTAAAATTTGAAATCAATCGGGCAAGGAGTTTTCGCGAAACGCCCGGAAAACCGCAAAATGCAACTTTTTGGCGCGAAAAAATGATAGGCCACTTGAAGCTTTTTCGGCATTTTCGAGCCTCTCGTTGCAGCTGCGCACTTCAAATTTCGCCACGGCCTAGGCCGCCACCCTCTCGGCCTCTGGAGATCCTCTGCAGTACCTTTGTCGACCAACCTTGCCCGATACTCGATGGGCCGCGGCACGAGACTGACCGAAGTCGAGCGAGGCCAAATTCTCGCGTTTGACACCGCCGGGTGGGGATCCAAGAAGCCATTGAAAGAAAGGTCGGTCGCTCCCGAACGGTCACCCGGAATTTCCACGCCTAGGGTGAAGGCTACGGTACGGAAAAGTCACCCGGACGGCCACCCGAGATGACACCAACCCTGCTTCGAGCCTTCTACCGCGAAGCTGGGAAAGCCGCATGTCATGCCGCCATCTTGCAACGTCCCTGAACCTTCTCGTGAGCATTTGCCGAGCTCAGCAACTGCTCCAGTGGCACCCAAAGTTCCGATTCGAGAAGCGACTCGGCTGTCTACTGCTCACCGCAGAGCACCGCCAAACCCGGCTCCGGTTCGCCTCCGACACGGTCGGCGAGGGCCTCAATTGGACCCAGGTAATCTTCTCCGACGAAAAGAAGGTCACTCTTGACAGTACAGACGGCTGGCAATGCTACTCGCGCCGCCAATTTGGTGGTGGCTCAGTCATGGTCTGTGGCGCGTTTTCCGCCATCGGTCTCTCCGACTTAAAGACCCTCGACGGTCAGCAAGACAGCTACGCGTATACCGTGACCCTCTCCGACTACATACTGCCCGCTGCGCACGCGTTCCACGCCGACGGCTTCATTTTCCAGCAAGACAACGCATCGATCCACGTCAGCCGCGAGACGCGGCAGTGGCTTACCGGCTGTTAGAACAACCTTTTGGACTCGCCAGCCCGTTCACCCGACCTCAACTCAATTGAGAACCTTTTGGCCATAGTAGCGTCATACGCCTTGTAACGGAAGGCAGTTTTTGGACCGACAGCGCCACATTTCTGCGATCCTTCAATTTTGGGAAGACATCGAGCAAACAACACTGAAAAACCTGGTAGCGAGCATGCCCAACTGGTGCCTACATGTTGTAGCTCGCATAGGTAGAAAATCCGGGCATTCGAGTAGCGTCAAACGCCTCGTAACGACCCTATACATTCAAGTGGCCTATCTTTATTTCGCCATAATATCGAAAAAATCACATGTTTTTTTCATTTTTGACCTCAAATCGTATCCTACGTGCATGAAAACTTGGCACATCAATAAACAAGTATTATGACACGTTTGACAACTATCCATTGCCACTCCAGATAGCTAGAAGTGTAAGAACCCCAGGTGGCCTATCTTTAGTACGCGCACTGTATGATAATCCAACATGCCACTCAAGTATACTAAATACGACACGTAGTTTGCTCCGCAACTCAATTGATAGGATTAGAAAGCGTAAAAGAGCGATTCGACAAAGCCTGTCCCGTTACGTTTGAGAATCTCCATCGAAATGCGCGTCGCTCGCGCATGGGCTTTGACAGCCGCTTCGTCATTTTCGTCGACGCTGAGCTTGAGCATCACATTTGCGCGACCCTTGAGCGCGTTGAGAAGAACAAAAATATCGTCAGTGCCAAGGATGACGCGGGAATCGTGATGGGCTCGTAGGTCGTTAGAGGCTCGTAGGTCGAGAACGAATGGCCGTGCATCATTCGAGCGCGCGCGGAGCGACTGCGCAAGGCAGGGGATGCTCGCCTTCACAAAGGCGCAGGATCGAAGCGACAGAGCCGAGAGCGTCTGCGTCCACTTGATGATGGCTTGCTGGACGAGAGCCAAAGTGCGAGACGAATATTCGCGCCCCGTGTTGATCCAGTGCAGGTCGTCCAGTTGGGGTAGCTGCGTCGCCCAGTCGACAAGCGCGTCAAAGCTGGCGTCGCCCACCTGCACGTCCCTGATCTCTAGCACGCGTAGGCTCGGCAAGCGAACGTCGGAGAGGGTGGCTCGTGACACCGTGAGCGTAATGGACCGGAGTGCCAGCTCTTGAAGAAGCGGCATCTTCAAGAGCGAGACGAACCAGCTCCAGTCACCAAGGGCGTCAGCCACGAGGCGTGTGAGCTTGGAGAGATCCAAAAGCAATATGAGGATGCCGGCCCAGTCGATGTCGTTGTCCGTATCGATTTTGACGTCCGTGAAATGCCAGAGAGGACGTTGTGCCGCCGCAAGAGCATGGATGAGGCCGTCGGAGTCGATCAACGCCACGCTTGTGACGGAGGCGGTCGTCGCCAGCATCTCGGCCATGGCACCAGCACTTGTTTCCGAGTTGAACTGATTCAAAACGAGGCGTTTGGCACGCCCCGTCTTGAGCCACCGTGACAGGGCCGCGAGATCATCGGGGCCATACTCTTGGCCATGAAGAGACAACTCGCAAACGCTCGGCGGCAGCAGCGGCAATACTGCTGCAGCGATATCGCGCTCGTAGACGGAGACGTGCACGAGCCGCGTGCACATCGGCAAAAATGATCGCAAGGGCGGCTTTTCAAACGGATCCGTGTACCAGAAAACCATCGCCGTGAGCTTGGGCGTCAGTGCGGCTAACACAGTCGCCACGTCGAGGTCGCAGTCGCGGAGTTGATCTTCCATGCACCATACCGAGTTGACCTGCAACTTCGGAATAACGGGGAGCGCGACGAAGACGAGTTGAATGTAGTCGTCCGGGACGAACTCGGGATTAACCATGGGCCACTGCCCGTCAAAGGCCTTCGCGGTGGTCATGAGCCGGCGGAGCGCGGCCAGCGGCGCCGTGAGCTCGTCGTGAGGGATGGCCAAGAGGATGGCCTTGGCGTCCAGGCGCGCGTCCATGTACTCGACGAGCGACCCGATGACCGCAGCCGGGATCGTCATGGCCGATGCATGCTTGGGCTTCTTCAGCATCTTGGAAAGTGGTGGAATTAAAATAAACTGCCTGGTCTGCATACAAAACAAGAGATATACAATGGACCACCTGAAACACGCTTTTGATTGGCCGATTTCGAGAACCCTTGCCCCAGACGCAGCGATCTTGTACGTGGCAGCAGGAGATGGAAGCACAGCGGCCAAGATCTTCGGCGTTAAAGTCGCTCGCGATGTGGAAGATCTGTTCAACGGAGATACTCAACGCCACCACGCATGTGATTCACCGCCATGGTTGGCTCGTCGCATCGTCCTTTGGACTCGCTCGATCCTGCATGAATGCATTAAACTGCCTGCCACGCACCTTCGACCAATGCCCGAGCAGCAAGACCGACAAGGAGTGGATAAAGGATACTAGTAGCGTGAGTGTGTCGACACGGTGCGCGCGCGTCGTGACGGCCTCGAACATCGCGGCGGTTCTGTGCAAGCACACACTTGTCGTGTTCCAGGAGTAGCGCAGACTACATGTATCCGTTATTTCATGTAAAGCTACACACGTGCCGCGCTTTGTGCAAAAACATCGTTACTCAACTACTAGTTAGTAATACCCTAAGGCTTAGGGTATTACTAACAGGTGTGCTTAGGGCCTAAGCACACGTGTGGTCATCCGAGGCGGGGTCAACACACTTCAAGTTTGGAAACACTCGCAAATGGACATCAGTTTTTGTTGTACGCGGATGAGCACGAGCGTCTATCCTGCAACTAGGCTCCTGTGGAGTGGCCCGGTAGGAAACCTCTTTCTGAGGGAAAGTAAAGCAGGAGGAGAGTGGAGTGAAATTTGAAAAGATACTAGTACACGATTGCGGTTGGAATGAATTGCGGAGGGAAAAATGCAGGCGATGTGTTGCAATGGTCGCGGAGACATCGACCTCCAGGATGGTGCAGTCGTCGTCGACTGAGCGGACGATAATGTCGTTACCATTACAATCTTATGCCAAAGTGGGGGCGTGGGTCGAATTTACGACCGAAATCGTCGTGGTTACAGACCAGCGCATTCGTGATGGCGTAGATGTCGTTGAGCTGGAGCTTGGCGTCGAAACGGGTCGCGGCGTCGTTGAACATGGAGCAACGAATTTACGTGCCTTCAACGTCCATGGCAACGCCATTGAACGCGATGGAGTCGGTGGAAGTGTGAAAGACCTGCAGCGTGTGTCTTCCGCGTCGCTCATTGTGTACTAGTAGGCTGAAAAGAGAAGCCGTTGGACACACTATTGGATTGATGGACTCTAGCCCGGTAACACAAAGTTCTTTTTCGACTCGGGCCCAGTTGCATCAGGCTCACGCCCACCAAGTCGATTAAGCACTGTTATAGCCTTGCACCACCCGGCGTCCTCGATTTTTCGGCGGCTCAGCGACGTTTCTGCAACACCGCACTTGCCGTGCGCTCAACTGTTTAGTCTGGTTGCATTTGGAATGCCATGTATCAACTTTTTACAAGTGCGCTGAAATGGGCTCTTTCTAGAGCACAAGCTATCGGTAGTTGCGGCGCTGTGACGTCGAGAAGAGCGACGTGCCCTTCTTGGTCGTCTTCTTGAACTTCATGTTTGCCGTGCTCACGGCCGGCGTCACCCAACACGACGCTGCTGGCTCTGCGTACGCAGCAGCAGGAACGTCCGGCGAGAGCTCACTCGGAAACGCGTCGGCGTCGTCCAGCGCAAAGTCCGACGCGTGAAACGAAGACGAGGACGACACGAGCGTCGTCGGCTGCGGCGCAGGCCACAGCATCTCGTTCTCGAGCGTGAGGTTGACGAGCCGCGCGTCGACAGCGTCGAGGCGCTTGCGTTCTTCGTGCACCTCGGCGCGCTTCTTGGCTTGGCGCGCCCGAGCCCGCTTCTTAAGGTCGCTCTGAAAGTGCAGCAGCGTCTCGGGTGAGACAGTGTCCTTGAGCTCAATCTCGGCGAGGTAAAAGTCGCAGAGGCCTGGGAGGTGGCTGAGGAACCGGAACCGCTTGCGCGCATCGTCGTTCATGACCACGTGCTCGAGCTCGAGGACCTTGCCGCCGAGGGACGACGGGAGCGCGTCACCAAACTCCTTGGCCAAACAGCGCATCGTGATAGGGTGGAGAAACACCGTGTGGCCGTTCGCGAGCTGGTAAAACGTGTAGAGCTCGGACGCGTCGTCGTCACTGGTCTTGATTGGCACCGATGCGGACGCCGAGCCTTGCTTCTCGAGCTGCTTCTCGCAAAACGTGATACCTTCTTGGATCACGGGCAGCATGTTGCGCTCGCCGCTGCTCTCGGCCTCGACGTGGAGCCGCTGCAGGTCGAGGAGCTCGCCTTCGACCATCTCGCGGAGGTACGAAGCCGAGGCTTCGAGGATCCGGCTAAAGCGCCCGTCGTCGCTGTGCACAGACGGCACGCCGCTTCGGGAGCCCGTCGTCGGCAAGTGCGGGAACCAGCTGCCCTTGGAGCGATGCAGGAGCGCAAATGTTGCGGCACGATTCACGCTGGGCATGCTGCGCTCGCGGTCCACGAGGACGCTGCGCAGGTCCGTCTTCTTGACCGAGTCAAAGCACATGGGGCACCGCCACCAGTAGTTTTCGCTGAGCGACAAGTACATCAAAATGCAGCTCCAGCTACGCAGACGCGACTGAGCCACGCACGACGATGGACGCCGATCGTACCAGAACGTGTGGCCGCAGCGCGTGATCTTTGGCGCGCGCAGCGTATCGAGGCAGATCGGGCAGCGCCGGTCGGCCTCCGACTGCTCGTTGGTCACGATGACTTGCTCGACATTGTCCCCTAATGATGGAAGGCGCGTCAACTTTCGAGAGCCAGAAAAGACTCGTCGTACATGCGGTGAGCGCCTCGGGGTCAAAGAGGACGTTCGCGGCCTTCTCGCTCGCAAGCGGCGCGATCACGAAGCGGTAGCTACATAATCGATGAGCTCAGGACACGAGGTGTGTCGCGTACTTGGCGTGGAGGAACTCGTCGCGCGTGCGCGGCGGCGGCGCCTTCTTCTTGCGCATCGCGACCGCCTTCTCTTCGCGCTCGGGCAGCGAAAAGTTGAGCAAATGGTTGGCCGAGACGCCGCCTTGGCGCTTGCGCCGGTCGCCGCCGCGCGGCTCGGGCACGGGCTTGGCACCACGTCGTCGCTAGTGTTGGGCAGCGTGAGTGGGCGTGGGCTCCTGGACGCGTCTCGTACCTGTCCTTTGGTCACCGACATCTGGACTGCATCCTCATCGTAGGTATAGTCGTCGATGTCGTACATGGCGCTCATGGTGGTTCGTCGGAGTCGAGGGTCCCGCGCACGGTGTCAGTGGTGGTCCTGGGCTTCCGCTCCAACTTTGAGCAAACTTCCATTTTGGATGCCACTGAATTGAGTTTCGCGAGATTCGCCTTGAGTTCGTATCCAGTGGCATTTGAAATAAATATCTCTTCAAATGGCTCTATGGTGGCGACATATAATAAAATACTGTGGCGCCAACATTCAAACGAAACTCAAAGCGACGAATGGCCCACACTCTGGGCTGTATTTCGTTTCAGTATCGGGCCACGCGTGACACGGGAATTTGCGGCGCGCGATCTTTCGCGAAGTGCGGGTCGAAGACTCTCACCATACTCTCACATGACAACCTGTACAGCATTAACTACCGCTGTTATAACACTGGTGTGCAGTCGCCGTGATAATAGCACTGGTATCGATTTGTCCCAATCGAGCCAAACGTCGAGCACAATTCAAGGCAACGCATTACATAGCAAATCTATTGAAACCTCTCAAAAGCTGGGCATGCCGGGGAAGCCGCCGCCCATACCGGGAAAACCGCCCATGCCGCCCATGAGACCGCCCAGCTGGCTCGGGTCCATGCCTTGCATCTGCTTCATCATCTTCATCATGCCTTGGGGGCCGCCCATCTGCGCCATCATGCGCGGGTCCATCGCCTTGCTCAGCTGCTGCATGACCGCGTTCGGGTTGCGCTCCATTTGCTTGGCCATCGCCGCGTCGCCGCCCTTCATCAAGCCGCTCTTGCCCATGCGCTGGACGACGCCGGCAAACTGCTTGTGCATCTTGAGGAGAAAGTCGACTTCGGCGGGCTTGCAGCCCGAGCCCTTTGCGACGCGCAGCTGGCGCTCGGGCGTCAACTGCACAACGCCGTCGAGCTCGGCGGCCGTCATGCTGTCCATCATGTAGAGGAAGCGCTTGAGCATGCGCGTGCCGCCTTCCTCGCCGCCGCCCTTGAGCATGTTGCCGAGCATCCCCGACATGCCCGGGATCATCTCCATGACCTTGGAGAGCGGGCCCATCTTCATGACCGACTGGAACTGGTTGTACATGTCGCGGAGCGTAAAGACGCCCTTCTGGAACTTCTTGACCATCTCCTCTTGGTTGTCGAGCATGCCGCTCGACTTGACTTCTTCCATGAGGCCCTTGATGTCGCCGCGCCCGAGGAGCCGGCTCACAAACGACGACGCGTTGAACGGCTCGAAATCCATAAAGTGCTCGCCGGTACCGTAAAATGTGATCGCGGCGTCCGTGGCCGCGACCGCACTCATGGCGCCACCGCCCTTCGCATGGCCGTCGAGCTTCGTGATGATGACGCTACCGACGGGCACCGCGTCCTTGAACGCAGTCGCTTGGTCGTGCACGGCCTGGCCGATCGTCGAGTCCATGACAAAGACGACGTCGTCCGGGCTCACGACGTCGTAGACTTCCTGCATCTCGGCGAAGAGGTCCGACTCTTGCTTGTGGCGACCACTCGTATCGACGATGATGATCTCGTAGTGCTCGGCGCGGAACTGCGCAACACCTTCCTGCGCAATGCGCACGGGATCGGCCTCCGTGTAGCTACCGTAGAACGGAACCTGGAGCTTCGTTGCGTTCTGCTTGAGCTGGTCGAAAGCACCGGCGCGGAACGTATCTGCGCAGACCATGCACGTCTTCCAGCCCTTGCGCTTGTAATAATGCGCGTACTTGGCGATCGTCGTCGTCTTGCCCGACCCTTGCAGACCCACAAACATGACGACGTTCGATTGGCCCTTCTTCATCTTGTACGGCGCCGTCTGCGGCTCGAGCATCGACACGAGCGCATCAAAGACTGCCTTCTGGATGAGGTTCGGGCGGTTGGCGGCGACGCCGTCCTTGAGGTCCATGGCGGCCTTGACCTTGGTGCGCAGCTGCTGCACAAGGCGCACGTTGACGTCCGACTCGAGGAGCGCGCCGCAGATCTCCTTGAGGACCATGTTGAGCGTCTCGTCGTCGACGGCCGACGCGCTGCTGAGGCGCACGAGCGCCGACTGGATCTTCGTCCCGAGCTCCGCGAGGACCATGCTGCTGCTGCTTCGACTTCCTCTTTCGCTTGTGTTTGGCTGACGTGGTCGCCCACGCCATAAAATACATCGTTTTAAAATACTATATCGAAGTTTAAACTGCGCTTTCGCCATCTAAATCGTTTGGCTATTCGCACGCACTCTAGCGATGCAATCGTTGATGGCGAGCAAAAGCAACGCGTTGTCTAACCCGCTGGACGTTGCATTATGATGTAAAGTTATACGTCGATACATCGCCGCTATCTTGGTTTCTACAACCTACGTAGCCTGCTGCAAGGTATTGCTTGATGCCTTTAAGGACGGTGAAATAGCGCCAGGCGATGTTGGCGTAGTTCGAAGACAAAATCGAAGCGCCACTCGCGCAATTCAAAACGCATCCGGATATCCTGGCCAGCATCCGCATATTGCGTGCTTGGGGCAATGAAGCGACGCGCTGTTGCATCAACAGCCCGATTCCGCCTCTGCTGCGCACGATGCAGGCCCGTGTCGCCGTCGAAGCCTCCATCTTTGGCGTCGCCATCGCTTGGCTCTACGCAGCTTCATCCCATCTGCACGTGCTCGATGCACTGCCGCAGCTGCAGCCTCTCCTCGCTTGCCTCATGGCCATGCTCGTCGCTGGCACCGTCGCGACGATGCGAGCGCATGTCTACCTACCTCTTGAAACCATCGCTCGCACTCGGTACTCCTTCCATCTCTTGCACACGTCGTCTTGACGCATGCGTGCAGGCCTGAAAACGATACCGGTATCCTCGTCGGCGCCGTGTTGCTGCCGCTAGTGGGTTGCAGTCGGCTCCTCGTCGCCGTTGCCGAGACGTCGACGCTCGACGGTACCTGCATATGTAGTCGCGTGCTTCATCTGACTCGAGTGCGTGTAGCGTATGCACTTGTATTGCTCGTCTGCGTCATGGTGCTGTCTCTCTCGACGCTCGTGCGCCTCGTAGCCCACGCGCCATGGTCGCTGTCGCCCACAGCACTGTGGGAGCCGTTGCTTGTACAGATTCTGTCCCGCTTTTTGCCTTTGGACTACCTACACGGTATGGCACATCATTGCACTGCGATATGGCGCGAGCTCTCGTCTGTGGTTCGCGTAGGAACGTCTGTGTGGCCGCTCCACGCGGCCTTGGCCGTCTACAACCTTCTTTTGCGCTACGGCCTCGCCGCGCTTCCCCGATCCTTTACGTTTGGCGAAGCCATGGTGCTTTCGCAGGGCATGTCCCTTGTCGTTGTCGACAGTGTTTTCTACACTCTGCAGTCGGTATGAATCGCACCCTTGACGACGCATCTGGCGACGGTTGCTTGTAGATGGCACTCTTTGACGCCGGGATTCCGATCCACGAGCCAACGACGATTGTCATTCAGCTCGTGCTCGTCTCGGGCGTTGCGCTTGGCGTCCTCTGCACGCCGCTCTTTCGACGGTACGGTGCGCCGTCGCCTCAGAAGCCGTCGCCGCCCTTGCCGCTGCGGCCAACGCTCCTCTTTGGCGGTCTGGTTGCAGCCGTGGGCGTCGTGTTTCTTGTCTGGAGCTCGTTCCTCTTGCGCGAGTCGATTCTCCACTGGCTTTTTGCACGCATCTCGACGCCCAGTGCGCTGCGCGTCCTTGCGTGTTGGGCTCTGCTTCTTGGCGTCGTCGTACCGCTTTGTCCGTGGATCGCATCGACCCTCGGCCTCCGGCAGATCGTCGCGCGGAAGCTCTACCACTTTCTCGCGGTCGCCTTGTTTCTACCGGCCAGCCTCCTCGACGTACACATTTTGTGCTTTCTAGACTTCTTATGGTCATCTGCCATGCGTGTCTAGATGGACCTCCTCCGCCTCAGCTACGCGATTGCGATTGGTCTCTTCTTCATTCTCGAGTGCGTCCGAGCGCTGTCCGTGCCGCCAATGGGCCGTCCGATTGCAGCTTTCATGCGCGCGTACTTGGACCATCGCGACGACGGACGCATTGTGCTGAGCCACACGTACCTCTTGCTGGGCTGCGCGCTCCCGAGCTGGCTCTGCCCCACCGCGTCGACTGTGCTCCTCGCCAACACGGGTGTCCTTGCTTTAGGGATTGGCGATGCCATGGTACGACGTGTATTTGATTCGATGACACGCGAAATGACGGTGGTCTAGGGCGCGGTGGTCGGCTCGAGCGTTGGCCGAACCAAAGTGTGCGGAACGAAAACGTTGGAGGGAAGCGTCGCGGTGTTTATCTCGATGGTGCTCTTTGCGTACGCAGCCGTTCCTTCTGCGCACCCGTGGGCGACTCCAGTACGTGCCTCTCCTCTCCAATATGGACAAGGTGTCTAAGAGTTATGGATAGGTCTTTCTCGGGTTTCTCTGGAGCACGTGGCTCACGACCGCGCTCGAGGCAGTGACGTGCCAGATCGACAACTTGGTGCTGCCGCTCTTCTACTTTGCAACGTGCTGCATCACGCAAGCGTACGCACGCGGGTAAATCGCTCCATGCATTAATACGACGATTTGAATATCCTTGGACGCTCCTTGAAGCCACCACTGCATGTCATGGCACGCGGTCGTACCGTCGTCCACGCTGTTTTTAGCATCGTCTGTAGCAAAGGTCCACTGGTCCGCTTCCAGCATTGCTAATGCACCAAGCTTGACACACAAAAGAGGTTACCACGAGGTCCCTGCTAGGGTCCCAAGCCTCTTGGCGCTCGATTTCAATTTCAAAGCCCACGCAAACCAGCCAATCATGGCGCTCTGCCAGTAAAAAATTGGCCAATCCCATGCGGGAGAAGGCGATCCGCAATCCAATCGACGTTATCCGGATAGAACAACCGGATGCGATCCAATTGAAATCGTCATAATCGAAACGGCGGCGAACAGAGCAATGGTCCGCTTCAGCGCCGACGTGCTCGAGCTCTCGGACGACGAACATGTAAGTGCGCTCCGCTGGCGCGACCACGAGCTCATGACGTCTACAGGAGGAGGCTGTGGCCGAGCAGCAGCGTCGCGGCGCCACGATACGCCAGGTGGGCCCCGTCGCGACGACATGCACCGTCCCGTAGACGACGTATCCTCATGTAGGCCCGGCGCCCGTCCAGCGAGGTCCAGAGCTTGCGCGGGCCTGCGCCGAGCGCCCGCAAGAAGATGCGTCGCGTGCCGCCTAAGCCCACGGACCGCATCACGCGCCAGCAAGGGCCGGCGCCGGAGCCCGGGCCGCTGCGACCACAGCGTCAAGAAAAAAAGCGCTCGGACGAGGAATATGCTGCATACCGCGCGCACATTGATGCGAAGACTGCGGTACATTCCATTGCCCATGTGTGAGCTCATGTCTGTCTGCGTAGAACACGAAGAGACTGAACAAGATCAAGAAACGCGAAAATCGTAGCCTCTGGGCCGTGACGCCCGAGGTGCGATGCTTGACGATACCGCGTGTAGTCATCTCATGCGTCTGTGGTAGGAGCGCCCCGCGTTGCGCGAGTACCAGCGCACGTGGCCCTCGGTCGGCACGTACATTTGCGATTTGTTCCCGAACGTCACGTGGTCACACCCCGCCTCGGACGAGCACATGTACGTTTATACTTCATTTGAGGCCATTGGATATATTGCTGGACTAGGTGCAGCATCTGCTTTGAGTGCTACGAACCGAAGGAAGTCGTGGTACGCCTGCCGTGCGCGCACGTATACCACCGCGCCTGCATTCAAGGCTGGCTCCTCAACAAGGACAAATGCCCGCTCTGCATTCGCCCGGTCCTAACTTATGAATAGTCGAGGACAACATCATAACCAGTAAATGCAATACTCAATGTACTAGTACAATTATAGCTACAATTCTATGCTTGTCTTTGGAAAGACTACCACATGATTCGCGTTCGACAGGTGCTCCTTGGTCATAGTGGATGCATGGACTAGTCATAATGCGCGTCGATGCATCGTCGCACGCTTGAGCACTCGTTGGCAAGTCGGACGAGACGAGTTGCTGTTCGTTCCGCTGCGGACCAAAGCACTACCTGCCCAACCACGCACCCGAGACGACAAGTAGTACCTGACCCACGCACTGCTTGAATACCGACACTTACGCAGTACATCGCACACATGTTGTGTGTCGTATGGCCCGTATGCCAACACACGATTGTCCAATCTACCAAAAAGTGACTTAGTGTATCGCAACTGACTGCTATGAAGGGAACGTAGTGAGTGATACACACATGTATTTCGCAATGATATGGCGTCATATGTTGAGCTCGAGGCTGCAGCGTTGAGCACGCATTTCAACCTGACAAGACATGCTGCTTGTCAAGTGCAAGCAATCGTCCCATCTACCAAAAAGTGACTTAGTGTATCGCAACTGACTGCTATGAAGGGAACGTAGTGAGTGATACACACATGTATTTCGCAATGATATGGCGTCATATGTTGAGCTCGAGGCTGCAGCGTTGAGCACGCATTTCAACCTGACAAGACATGCTGCTTGTCAAGTGCAAGCGATTGGGCAATTTGTTGAGGCTCCTCGATTTACTTTTAGTCGGTACCTAGAGGCTCAACACGCCCATCTTTACATGTGACTGCTTATGGCCCGCTCGAAGCCCTCACCCAAGCAGCTACTCCACTGCATTCCTCCTCTGCGCCAGGAGTTTGCCCTCACTTGGCGCTCCCTCTTGCGCCTCGCGCGCTCTATTGCTCACCACTATTTTGGTCGCGACATCCAGTTCCAGTCCACAGTGATATTGCCTTTTCAAGATGCAGGCGATGCATTTCTCGTCCTCGTGCAGGAAGCCCGACGCAATCAACACAACGCCCGGCGTCAAGAGAGGAGCTAAGAGGGCCTTTTAAGCAAAGATAATTACGCAATGGCAAGAATGGTATCATTATTTTAGTCTGTAGGCGTACGGTCGTGCTATGCGAAAGTGCCGCTGATCGACGCTGCTGGAGATCGGTGCACCTCGTGAGCGTGAGGCTTGACAGCCTTGACGACGTCGCTAGTGCCCTCGCAAGGGCATCGTCTTTCGTCGAGCTACAGTGTCTCAAGTTCAATGTTGTGATTCGTTGCGAGCCACTTTGTCAAGGCGTTTGTGCGCAGCGAACTGAGAAGGGACAGTGGGAGGGTGTCCACACGTTGCGCTCGCGTCGCGACTGCCTCGAGCATCATGGTGGTCCTGTGCAACCTCAACTCGCAGAGAGACATACAAAGTCGAAGTTCATCGCAGACTTGGCCCATTGTGACGTCAGTAGCGAGTGCATGGCTGATTTGCAGCGTGTGCAACTTGGCGGTGCACTTGGCGACGTGAGCGCGGAGGGTTGTCCCACCGTTCGCGGTCTGGGAAGCCCTTGATCAAGACCGAGCTCAACACGGACATGGCGTTGCCGACGAGTTGCCACTCGTTAGTGCACTTGGCGTCGAGACTGGCCCGCGGC